ACATCAAATGGGTTTATTAAAGCCCCTTCTCTGACATGATGTTTGGATGTTTCGTAGACATGGTAACAATGGTCCAGCTCTTGGCAGCCTTAAAAGCTAAGAAGAAAGAGGCTCGTAGTTGAGGTAGGCATGCTGATGGACCTAATGCACAGTGAGTGATTTTATCTATGTTGACTTCTGAAAAAAAAAAAAAGAATTTCACACACTTCAAAATTTCCATTACAACGTTTTGTGGGTTTATTTGGTACATTTTAACCCGGGCAACTCTATGCCAATTTCCTCATTCTTGATCATTGTAGTTTTAGAGATCCAAAATATTTATAATTTTGTATTGCGAAAGAAAATTAAGAATAAAATTCATCCAAAATTGGTCATTTAGATGATGGCATGCAGCTGAGACAGGCAACTGAAGGGTAAATGACTACCTTCCAACCTTTTCTCTTCAGGACACGTGAATGTTCAATATACATTTTGATGGAGTAGTCATATGACCTGCAGAAAGAACTAAATTAAGGAAAAAAAAATATTATTAAAGGACTGTTGACTTTACTACAACCGTCTAAAAGCCATAGGTGGACTTTGCAGTCGTTACCGAGGTCAGTGGGGTTTCGTACATGTCGGAAAGGCCATTATAGAGCATGTGACTGTGAAAATAGGACAAAACCACTTAAAAATTGCCATTACAACGTTTTGTGGGTTTATTTGGTACATTCTGACCTGAGCAACTCTATGCCAATTTCCTCATTCTTCATAATTGTAGATTTAGGGATCCAAAATATTTATAATTTAGTATTGCGAAAGAAAATTAAGAATAAATTCATCCAAAATTGGTCATTTAGATGTTGGCATGCAGCTGGAAGACAGGCAACTGAAGGGTAAATGACTACCTTCCAACCTTTTCTCTTCAGGACACGTGAATGTTCAATATACATTTTGATAGACCTGCAGAATGAACTACAGTTGCAAGAAAAAGTATGTGAACCCCTTTGGATTACGTGGAGTTTTGCATGAATTGGGCATAAAATGTGCTCTGAACGTCATCTAAGTCACAACAATAGAAGAACACAGTCTGCTGAACATAATACTACACAAACATTAGATGTTGCCATGGTTTTCTATTGCACATAACATGTTAAACATTCACAGTGAGGTCAAAAAGTATGTGAACCTTTGGGTTTAACATGTCGGAAAGGCCATTATAGAGCATGTGACTGTAGTTGAAAATCAGACCTGCACAACGATCTGGAAATTTTGGACCACTCCTCTTCAAAAAACTGTTTCCATTGTAGCAATATTCTTGGGATGGCTGTTTATCTTAAGGTACATTTTCAATGGGGATTGAGGTCAGGACTCTGACTGGGCACTCCAGAAGGCGTATTCTGTGCTGTTGCAGCCATTGTTTTGTTGAATGACTTGTATGCTTTGGGTCATTGTCCTGTTGCATCACCCATCCTCTGCGGAGCTTCAGTTGGCGGACAGATGGTCGTAAATTTTATAATTTTGCAAAAAAATTAAGAAAATGTCTTGATAAACTCTGGAATTCATTTTCCCATCAATGACAACAATCTGTCCAGGCCCTGAGGCAGGAAAGCAGCCCCAAACCATGATGACTCCTTCCGCCATGTTTCACTTCATGAGGTTTGATGTTGGTGTGCTGTGCCTTTTTTTCTCCATACATTTTGATGTGTTCTTCCCAAACAACTCAATCTTGGTTTCATCTGTCCACAGTATATTTTGCCAGTAGTGCTGTGGAAATTCCAGGTGCTCTTTTGCAAACTTCAAAAATATTCTTTTACAGCAATGGCTTCCTCCGTGGTGTCCTCCCATGTACTACCATTCTTGTTTAATGTTTTCCTTATTGTAGATGTGTCAACAAAAATTTGCATGTGCCAGAGATTTCTGTAGGTCTTTAGCTGACACTCTGGGATTCTTCTTTACCTCATGCAGCATTCTGGGGCTCTTTCATTTTACAGGACGACCACGCCTAGGGAGAGTAGCAGCAGTGCTAAACTTTCTCCATTTGTAGACAGTCTGTCTTACCGTGGACACAGGAACATCAAGGCTTTTGGAGATACTTTTGTAACCCTTTCCAGCTTCATGCAAGTCAACAATTCTTGATCGTGAGGTCTTCTGATAGCTCTTTTCTGCAAGGCATGGTTCACATCAGACAGTGCTTCTTTGAAACCAGTAAACCCAAAAAAACAGGTGTTGTTTTTTAAGGGCAGGACAGCTGTCAGCAAAGAATCCAATATCATCACACTGATTGGAGTCAAGGTTGGCTCCACTCCTGGCTCCAATTAGCTCTGGGAGAAGTCATTAAGCTAGGGCTTCACATACTTTTTCCTCCCTGCACTGTGAATGTTTACATGTTATGTGCAACTAAAGGGTACATCTAATGACTATTCTTTCAGCAGACTGTGTTTCTTCTATTGTTGTGACTTAGATGACATTCAGAGCACATTTTATGCCCAATTCATGCAAAACTCCATGTAATCCCAAGGGGTTCACATACTTTTTCTTGCAACTGTAAATGACGGAAAGGAAAACAAAAATATATTATTAAAGGACTGTTGACTTTACTACAACCTTCTATAAGCCATAGGTGGACTTTGCAGTCGTTACTGAGGTCAGTGGGGTTTTGGACACGTCGGAAAGGCCATTATAGAGCATGTGACTGTGAAAATATGACAAAACCACTTCAAAATTTCCATTACAACAACGTTTTTGTGGTTTATTTGGTACATTTTGACCCGGGCAACTCTATGCCAATGTCCTCATTCTTCATAATTGTAGATTTAGGGATCCAAAATATTTATAATTTTGTATTGCGAAAGAAAATTAAGAATAAATTCATCCAAAATTGGTCATTTAGATGATGGCATGCAGCTGGAGACAGGCAACTGAAGGGTAAATGACTACCTTCCAACCTTTTCTCTTCAGGACACGTGAATGTTCAATATACATTTTGATAGTCATATGACCTGCAGAATGAACTAAATGACGGAAAAAAAAAAAAAATATTATTAAAGGTCTGTTAACTTCACTACAACCTTCTAAAAGCCATAGGTGGACTTGGCAGTCGTTACCGAGGTCAGTGGGGTTCCGTGCATGTCGGAAAGGCCATTATAGAGCATGTGACTGTGAAGATATGACACAACCAACAAGGAAAATGCACATAGAATTATGGTTTTTATCAAAGAATTATATTTCTGATATATTTATTTTTCACATAAGCGTCATAGCAGTAATTTTAAATGTGTACTTATAGAAAATACAGCATAATTTTTGTTCCTTTGCGAGAGATCTTAGTGCCTCAAATCGTTAGTCTTGCATTTGCTGACGCTTTCAATTACCCTAGTTGTGAGCTCAGTTGGATGCCTGACTGTGAACAGAAAAGGTTCCTGAAGAGCATGCACAAAGGTAATCACAGCTGAATCAGATTAGTAACATACAGTGGTTTCAATAAATAATAACCCAATGCATCTAGAAGACAAGGGAACTCCGCGGAGCCAGCACACATTATTAGGGAAGTGTCTCAGGTTTGGCGATTCCTTGAGTTTACAGCATGTAGGCAGGTGAAGTCTATATTCTCTAATGCAGGCGGTGCTCAACTTTAGCGGTAATGCAGATGGAAGAGGAAGTTGGAAGAAACTGGGTTTTTCTTTGACTCCTTCTGTCATACAGGGAAGTGATCCAGTTGGATGTTCTTGACCCATGTGACCCTGGTGGCCATCTTGGGTCAAGCAGAGTCTATTTAACCACTTCAAGTCCAGACACTTTTACCCCCTTCCTGTCCAGGCCAATTTTCAGCTGTCGGCGCTATCACACTTTGAATGGCAATTGCGCGGTCATGCAACACTGTACCCATGTGAATTTTTTAGCATTTTTTTGAGACAGATAAAGCTTTATTTTGGTGGTATTTATTCACCACTAGGATTTTTATTTTTTTTGCTATGTAAATGAAAATGCTTGTCATGCAACTTTGGACACATAAATTCGCATGACAAGTCACAGTCCAGGAATTTTAATGGAAGCATTTTAAATGTTTGTGACTTAAAGTCACAGCAACTTTAAAAGAAGTTCCTGAACTACTTTGATGCAACCTTCATGCAACTTGAGTACTAGAGACTGCAATGTAAATTCTGAAAAGTTGCATGAAAGACTCATCTTAATGTTATCAATGCAACAGTCATGCAGCAGCTAACTCTAAAGTCAACAGCCAAAACTGCATCCAAGCTGCACCAATCCAAAGTTGCATCGTAAAGTTGCAGTGGAAATTGCATGACTTTGGAGTTGCACAAGTGTGAATGGAGCTTAAATGTAAAATATTTGATCTAACCAGTCCTTAGATGTGTTGGCTATTTTGTTTTACTTTTTCCCTTTATTTTCATTTAGTGATCCTGCCAATAACACACGCCCTATCTTAGAGTGACAACGCTCACTCACTGGGAGTGATTTACTAAAACTGGAGTACACAGAATCTGGTGCATTTGTGCATGATAGCCAATCATCTTCCAAGTCCAGCTTGTTTAGTTCCTCTTTGACAATAAAACCTAGAAGATGATTGGTAGCCATTTACAGCTGCTCCAGATTGTGGATGCTCCAGTCTTGGTAAATCCCCCTCACTTTGTTGTACTATGGAGGAGCAATGTTGTAATCCTGACATGCTTGCATTGACAAGGTATTTTGCTTTGTTTCTTTTAGGTTACTTTGTAGTAAAACAAGGAAGCAGATACTTCTGTAGCATATTGATAAGCTTTTACCAAACCAACACTGTACCCATATGAATTTTTTAGCATTTTTTTGAGACAGATAAAGCTTTATTTTGGTGGTATTTATTCACCACTGGGATTTTTATTTTTTTTGCTATATAAATGAAAAAGTCCAAATATTTTGAAAAAAAAGTGTTTTTCTTATAAAATTTTGCAAAAAAAAATATTTTCATCATAAATCTTGGCCAAAATGTATTCAGTTATCATTTTAGTAAAAAAAAAAATAACCTATATTAGTTTATAACCAAAAATTTATTTTTTTATTTTTTTAATATTATTTCTGTTTTTTTTTTAATTCTACATACTGTCACCCTAGCATTACAATGTTACCATGGTGACACTGTACTACTTGTGGGGGATGATGAAGATTTTTTTTTTACACTGATTGCTTTTACACCCATAAAGGCTGTAAAAGCAATCATTTCTCCTTCTCTCTGGCTGCATTCTTGCAGCCATTGAGAACTACTGTGTGAGCTGTGATTGGTCACAGCTTGTCACATGGTACAAAGCTGTTGTGAATAGCCTTGTACCATGTGACCTCTGTGATCATTCACAGATTTCACAGGTAGTAAGCAATGATGTCAGAAGTGACATCTTGCTTACTACTCTGCATGTGATCACTGATTGGGACCTTGCACAGAGGTCCCATACGACGATCGGTGTTCCACTGTGTCCTCCGGACACAGTGGGCACCAGATCGTGGCGCTACGCACTCCCGGGGAGTGCGCACAGTCCAGAATGGCAGGTGCCATTTATGAATGTCAACCCGCCCCTGGACTGCCACCATCTGACCGTTTATATACAGCGGCCGGAAGGCAAGTGGTTAAGACTCTGACCCCGGGTTTTGGTGCCACTTTATGCAAGTGGCTAGTATAGAAACAGGTTCCCCATCTGTCAGAGACAGCACTGGTGGCAGGAGGAGGTTCCGGTGGAGTGAGGAGAAAGCAGGGACTATGTTTCCTTCCTAAGAAGCTTTCCCCTTTGTGTTGGATGGCCAGGCCGCACTCCGTTCCTTGTGGCAGATGCTGTCGGCAACTCTGAGTCTACAGACCACTGTCTCTACACTGCACTGTTGTAAGTGTTTCGGGTCGAATGGGCCTCTCTACCAGGCCTGTTTGTTCTGTTGAACTATTTCTACAAAATAATATAATCATTCTTTACAAATCGGGACTTTGTGTGCTTACTGCCCACCACACCACGCTGTACCTATCCACAAAGAAGATCCATCAGGTCTGAAATTCACAGCCCCAGTGAAATAATGTAAACATTTACCAGACCAAATTCTTCACAATCTAAACACACTTGTCATGTACTTGGCAGGAGACTGAATTGATGAGGTTGACCTCTCTTGTATCTCCAGCCCAGGCCCCACTGAAGGTGGAACAGATGGTGCCAAGGGACAGGAGGCACATGAGTCCCGGCAGGTGTTGATAGCAGAACTTGCAGCTGGAGATGCAGGCTTGAGAAGTCAGACTGGACATCAGGTCAAGAGCAGATGTGATGCACTCTGGACCGTCAGGGGTTAAAGGGGCACTCCGCATGTACTGCAGGTTCTGGAAGCGTGGCTTGTCGAAGCTCTCAGCAGGCTTTAGGCAGGAACACACTGCGATGACTGGAGCGGTTATGAAGGACAACTGAAGCAGACACTCAGAACTAGTATGAAGCCAAGTCAGAAGCAGGAATGAGGTCACCGAGGTCAGTAGCACTTACAGAAGTGTGGTCAGGAACAAAGTCGAGATCAGGAACAGAATCCAGGATCAGATCACTAACAAGCCAGGTCATCAACGGAAATCATACACAGAATACACTCAGGACACAGGGAAAGCTGAAGACCAGTCAGCACTGACAGTGAGCAAGAGCATCCCTCAAATAGCCTGTCTGGCGCCAGAAACTTTGGACATGCTCCCGCGTGCGTGCACAAATGTGCGCGTAGAAATATGCGCATGCTCATTTCTATGAGCAATGTACCTATGCACATTTCTATTAGCAATGTTATGCGCATGCACGTATCTATACGCCAGATTGACTTACAGGAATTTCCTACAGCACTGCCTAACCTTTCAACTACTATCAGTAGGGTTCCATAATAATGGTGGACTTTTTGTGTGCCAAACACCTCACTATTTGTTCAAGATGACACCTACCCCATACTTCCCATGGCTCTTCTGAAGCTGTTGGAGGAGAAGAAAAAATGTCCCCAAATCACCCCAATATCCAAAATCTTAATGCAAGTTTGGTAAAACCTTTGGCTTTGCAGCTGCTTCCATTCCAGCTCATGGAATCATTCCCGTTTTGTGAGGTTATGGCCTGTTCTACATCACAGTAATAGGTACCCCGCTGCCATTATTTTGCCCAGAAAGCCTTCCCTGCCCTCTCTGCCCAGCATGTGGAATGTAATATGTCTATGTCGCGGGACCACACTGTCAGTGACAGGGTACACATGACCATGGACATGGTTCAGTGACAGGGTACACATGACCATGGACATGGTTCAGTGACAGGGTACACATGACCATGGATATGGTTCAGTGACAGGGTACACATGACCGTGGACATGGTCCAGTGACAGGGTACACATGACCGTGGACATGGTTCAGTGACAGGGTACACATGACCGTGGACATGGTTCAGTGACAGGGTACACATGACCATGGACATGGTTCAGTGACAGGGTACACATGACCATGGACATGGCTCAGTGATGGTACACATGACCACGGACATGGTTCAGTGACGGTACACATGACCATGGACATGGTTCAGTGACAGGGTACACATGACCGTGGACATGGTTCAGTGACAGGGTACACATGACCGTGGACATGGTTCAGTGACAGGGTACACATGACCGTGGACATGGTTCAGTGACAGGGTACACACATGACCATGTGGACATGGTTTCAGTGACGGTACACCATGACCAGTGGGGTACACATGGTTTCAGTGACAGGTACACATGACCATGGACATGGTTCAGGGTATGACGGTGGTTCAGTGACACATGACCGTGGATGGTTCACATGGTTCAGTGACAGGGTACACATGACCATGGACATGGTTCAGTGACAGGGTACACATGACCGTGGACATGGTTCAGTGACAGGGTACACATGACCGTGGACATGGTTCAGTGACAGGGTACACATGACCGTGGACATGGTTCAGTGGCAGGGTACACATGACCATGGATATGGTTCAGTGACAGGGTACACATGACCGTGGACATGGTTCAGTGACAGGGTACACATGACCGTGGACATGGTTCAGTGGCAGGGTACACATGACTGTGGACATGGTCCAGTGTCCATGGGCATAGACATTACATATCGATCTATAATGGGGTAGAACCTTATGACTATAGCCTACATTTGGGGGTCCGTCCGGGATGAAACCGATCTTTATCCTAAATAGGTATTTTGTAGTAATTTATTATCTTTTCTATCTTTAATCAGCAAAAATAACTTTTAACACCTTTTGTTTTTTGTGCACCTACGCTCTTGAAAGATCGCTGTAGGATAAAAAGTCGCCTGGCCTGACAGTGATGAATTTTATTTATTTAATCTTTTATACTATCTTTTTAAAACTGATTATTTGTATTTGTATATATAACATCTATCAGTTTTGAACAGTTTCAGGTCTTAAAACAGATTGCACTTGTGACATAGGTTTTTCTAAGGATTTTTGAAGAGGCCAAGATTGTTTCCTTTCAGACACCCTATCTCAGACTAAAAATTTGTATGGTGCTGTCTCAGTGAAACGTGACAAGGGGAGAGCAGTCCCCTCTTCTATTTATTCACTTATCTCTGTGAAGTTCATCTTGAGCTATTGAACACTGTAAAACTTATTTTTAAATAAGAAAGCTATGTAGAGCCAAAGAAACATGTTAAACCTAAATATAGATATACAAATGATCTATAACAAATATTTTCAAAATAACCTGACTTGTATTTTGTCTATAGAAAATATAAAAACTTTGTAAAACAACAAAAAACATACATTTTTACATTCCTTTAAAGACTTTGCAAAGCTTTGTGAATTTTTACACAATGAATGTAATTTCAAGTGACTGACTAGCCCCTATTTTCAGCTCATTATTCTTCCCTGATGCCAAAAAACAGCTTCTCCCTAGGAATGAAGGAGTGTTGTATAATTTTGCTGTTGGGGAAATTCTGTCAAAGTGGAAAAATCCCAATTTCCCTCACCGAACTGTTTAGTTTAAATTTTCTTGAGAAAAAAAAAATACTCTTTTCTTTCTTTAGTGTATGTATGGTGGTTCATTTATTTCATGTAGTGTGTTTTTTGAATGTGTGCCCTTGGCCCTTGTATTCAATGTTGTTTTTTTTTTTTTTATTATTATTCAAAGAAAGAGAAAAAAATGTAACGCATGTTCAATTATTAAATTTCTTGAGTGCTGCTTTTTGCATTTTTCATTTTACTGATTTCTCACTTATGTGAAAAAAATGAGTGAGGTTATTGAGTGTATTTTTTTGATACAAGAACAGGTCCTAGATAGTTGGAAGGAGTTTCAGTAGCCAACAGAAGCCATTCATAGCCCATTGCATCCCTATAAAAACAGCTCTTTTTTCACTTATACAGTGACCACAATAAATTTTCTGTATTTGTGATATTTCACCAAAACCTCTATATTTTCTCTGGAATTTCATGGAAATTAAAACTTGCTTGTCCCTACTCTTCTCCATGGACCTTCCTTGGTCAATTACAGAGGGACCTTCGCAGCTAGTGGCATACCTCCCTGGATTGATTTGACTCACACAATAGCAAAAAAAAAAAAAAAACCTTTTACCTGAAGAAGTCATAAGTGACGAAACACGTGGGTGAGGAGCATTGTGACGTCATCACGCCAAACAGGAAATGATAGCCAGAGTGTGTATAGTAAGTCAATGCCCAGACATTAAGGGGACATTAATAGTCAAGGTGAGAGATAACCAGGGAGGGAATAAGTTGCTTATTAGTTTCCGAGGTTAATAACGGGCATATCTTGGAGATGATGTGGAAGTGAAATCTACAAGATTTGGACAGCGATTGGATTTTCATGGTGTTCATAGAAAAGAATAGACACAAAACATTTTTTACACAATTTTATTACTTTTTATAAGGGATATACAGCATATATGTAGATACAAGTATTTATCAATAATCACATTGTTGTATATTTGAGAAGATTGCGCTGCGCTTGTTTTTGTACATCAATGTCCATTTTATGTTGGAAGCACATATCAGTGATAGCTGAAATCTTGAAATTTCAGAATATTATTTGAAGAGTGAGGTTCACGTCGGAGTTTTTTTTTTCTAATTTTCTGTATCTTTCACTTTGTTACAGTGTTATTTTACATC